AAATACATTATATGTCAAAAACAAATTACAGACAAGTACTTGGGAAAACACATTAATGAAGAAAAGTAAACAAATAAGCAAATAAATGATAATAATAACAAAATAATAATGTCATTAACATAAACTAAGTGTTATTAAGAAGCGAAAAGTGAAACATAAATATTAATAATAATAAAAATATATTGAGCTGTCCTTATATTCCTGTACCAGTAAACAAGACTCTTAATTAATATCTGTGATACTGATTATTTTACAAAATACATTCCATTCAGGGTGGAGTCATTGGATTTTTCAATTGTATTTATGGCCCTGGGGTCGACTCAGTCTCTAACATAAACGAGTACCACGAACCTTCCTTGGGCAAAGGGAGGCCATCTCCTAAGGCTTACAACCTTACCACTATCCGTAAGTCATTTGTCTACAAAATGTGGGAGCCTCGACGTCTCAGAACCCTATGGTTTTTCGCGGTCTGTTACAGGGATGGCTTTACCTTCACTTTTTACAATCGACGAAACTTTTCATAATGTATTTATCCGGCCTTCTTTGCTTCCTTCTTCTTATTTTCATATACGCTCCTGAGCTTCATAATCCTAGACACGCATTTCTTTATTGACGTTCCTTCTCAGTGCGACAGAAGAAGTTTCACATCCATGGGAAACAAGAGATAAATCATTATCTATATACGACAGAAATATTTATATCATTAAGCTGAACTGCTTTTAGGTGATAATATTTTTGATGCTTTACATTTAAAAAGAAGAAGGAAAAGTATGTTATACATATCAGCAGTAAAGCTTAAATACGAAATATTTTCACGATTATGTATATGGAACACACGAACATCAGAACTAATTAGACATGCGAGTTCGAAAATTATATTCTGGAAATTCATATAGATCTTTATTTCAAATTGAATTATTAAAATCTACATGAAAATAATCATAAGTTTACTTTCAATCACCTCGATTTCACTTCGTAGTATTCACTCTTTTATTTATGAATTGATGAACATTTGCGAGCAATTCGCACCGTTTATAAAATCCAATTCACAACGCAACTAGAGGAATTCTACGTTGAAATTCACTGTTCGAGGAGACTTACAGACTGTAGTCGCTTGCACTTTATTCCCTTTCATTCTATGTAAATGCTGCTGTCCGTAAGTCGGCACATGCACAGAGCCACCTGGGACAGAGCACGAAACTAGAATGCATCATGCATGATAAAATGCACCTCCTTTTCTCAGATAACAAATACCGGTGGAACTGGGTGGAAAGGGAACAGACATACATTACTCTTTCTCACTTCTTTTGTGCGCTGTTTTAGAGTATCACAGAAAACGTTTTTGACTTTCTAATAGAGCTTGTTCAGGTGGAATTTGAAGAAGCAGAGGAAATGCTCGTAGAACAATTTCAATATTTGGTTTTGTGTCTTATACTTGTGCTCCAACGTTACGCTGAGTGAAGCCAAGTGTGAGATGAACCCTAGAGGGAATGGAACTACTCTTGAACTGTGTGAACGGAAATTCTTCAAAGCGACAAGGATGTGGTACTATTTATTATCTTTTACACTTCCTCAAAAGAACGTTCCCTTTGTTCTGACTATGACGTTTCTACAAGCAGTGTCGACTGTAAGTGTGCTAGTCCTTACTGTGTGAACTGGTTTGTTTCAGGGATATAAAGCTGCAAGTGTCTACGTAAATGGGATTTTAGTTTTCACAGCGGTAAAGTTGCATACAGTGGTCATCTTGGTCATGACACCGCGTGGTCTAATAGAGCGGTTCTCAACCTTTGTGAGACCGCGGCCTGGTAAATACTTTTTCTATAAGCTGAGGGCCCGGTATGATCGCTTCTGTGTTATAGTAGCCGGAGTTCTTGGCTACAGATCTAGGAGTCCAGGGTTCTATTCCCGGCGCTACTAGATTGTCTCAGAAGTAGTGAGTCTGGAATGGCATCCACTCAACCTCGTGAGGATAATTGAGGATCTACTTGAATGGAAAAGTACTGCTCCGTTCTAAACATCGAAATTAATGGGCGTGGGAATTCGTTGCGCTGACCAGACGACACCCCTTGTCAGCTAAAAGTCGGCGCTAACTTCGCCGACTAGAGGCCGTCGTTCGGTCGGCATAGTTCGCTTATGGACTAAAGCCACGGAGTTTGCTTTCGTTTAGGGCCCGGTATAATTGATGCCAGGGGCCGGTACCGGGCCGCGGCCCGGCTGTTGAGAAACACTGGTCTAGTAGACCTTCATCAAGGTTTCGGTTAAACATATTGGGTCAATCTTCAGGATAAAAAGTTCTATAATAAATATATAGCAGTAAGGCCATTATAATCATTATGTACCATATTTTATTTATTTTGATGCAACATACTTGTTTCTGCTCTCAAGAAAGAGTCCCTCCGGCCTGTTGCCATTCACAATTGGCTTCTGAAAATATAGGGCTCCCAGGACTGGGGACTGAACCATCCCAAAGCCTCTACCTACACAAGATAGCACAACACAGAAAAAGACAGACATGCATCCCTGACCTGCGTCGGAGTCGAAACCTTTATCCCTGTGTTCAAGTGACAGGACACAGTATGCGCCACAGACCGCGTGATCGACGTGTTGTGGTTATAACTATTAAAACCAGTGTTTCTGGTTTGAGGAACTGCAATAACCGTAGCACTCCTGCTGAAACCTCTTTCTGGTATGAAGTATTGCTCTAGCCATGCCACACAGGAGCTACAATATCCACAATACAATGAATATTATTTCTGGTTCGCGGAATTAAGTAACCACAACGCATTACTGCTCCATATTTCTCGTTTCAGGAACAGCTGTATAAACAACATACTTAATGAAATCGCGCGGCAAAGTAAACTGATGTTAAGAAATGTGATATTCTTCTCCGATCACAGTGGCCGGGCGGTATAAGGCATGAACTTTCTTCGCTCTCTCGAAAGCTGCAATCGTGGGTTCAAATCCCACTCAAGGCATACATGTATGTGTGTGTATTTAATCTAGTTTGTGTTGTCCTGTGTGCAGGTAGGGACTTTACGACTAGCTGATCCACCGTCCAAGGAGTCCTACCTTCTGCGTAAAAAAGATTACGAAACTGAAGAAGAGCCCAGGGCCCAACAAAGGGCTGTAGCGCCCGTGAAGAATGAAAAATGAAATAGACTATGTGCTGCATAAATATTGTGGGAAAATTATATGAAGATTTACGAATGACAAAATGAATGTGAAATTTTGTATTATTTGGCTGTGTTCAAATTCGACATGATACGCCTAGTAAGTTAATATTAAATTACATTCTAAGGACTTGTGTTATTGACAGTTATAATCAGAAATGCAGGCGAGGAATACTTTGGAAGCTACACAGGTTCATAAGAATTTTTACTAATTTGCAAATAAATATATCGGTTTTTATTTAGAGTGTATTGTTAAGTGTTATATGGAACTTGAAAGAAACGAGAGTCTAGTATTCTGAGACTATTAAATATGATGTAATATGATCGAGCACATGTTATTAAGAGAGCAGAAATTAAGGCGGAGGATCCAGGAGAGCGACTTTCGAGATCATCACTGCCGTCTGTGGGGTGTGATGTTGGTAAACTTCCTCCAGACTGTACGGCCTTATATTACAGAAGGCGTTATTCTTGAAACTGGGTGCAATTACACTATTTTGGGAATGTTGAACATAGTCATCTCGGTTCAGGAAATGAGGATCCACTGATTCGGAAATCGTTTTTTCTCAACTCGAATTCGTTGGCATGCAGTCCGCACTTAGACCGCACCCGCCACCTATCCGCTAAGCAACGATGGTTCCTTCTCCGTTAGAAAATTACGGAAATGACAATCTCCTACTACTGCCCAGGTTAAGAATGTGTGGGACTATAACTCCATAACCCCACACGTCTTACAGAATACTGTTTAATAGAACAAAGTAAAGTAAAGTAAAGCTATCCATGTAAGAGGCCGTGGAGACCCATAGAGTTGTGAGACGTCGAGGCTTCCACATTTCGTCTAGACAATCAGTTCACAGATAGTGGTGAGGTTATCAGCCTTACGCGCCGGCCGTCCTTCACCCCCAAGGATATTCCTGGTACTCATTTCTGTTAGAGGCTGAGTCGAACTCAGGGCCACAGTGCGGCTGGAAGGATTAGGTAAATTGAAAATTCCACCTCATCGGGATTCGATCCCGCGATCTTCCGTTAATTGAGCAAAGGGACAACTTATTAGACATTAACATTCATTAAAATATTATCATGACCTAAATTGTCAGAAATGACCAGTCGAATTAGTGCGGTTGTGAATTGCCACTGGTACACGAATAGAACGACCACATGTGTAATCAGATATTTCTAACACAATAAAAACCGTGCTTCCCAATGGAAATGAAGGTCAATAGGCAAACGCAGATAATCGTGATAAGACGGACGGAGACACAGTATCAACTCTGTCTAGCGTCGTGTCTAGATTGCTCCTCCTCTCCACATTTCTCCATAACAAAATGCTAGCTCTAGAGCACGAACTACGATATATTTGCTAGAAATAAAAAATTAATGTAACGTAATCAAACAGAAAGAAATTAATCTCAATTATTGTTATCGAAAATCGTAAATTTCCACTGATACTACAATCTAAATCGTTACATTCATAACCAGATATTGCGAACAAACTTAACTAAAGGCAGTATTTTCTCCTCTGCACTAAATACATTGTATGTCAGGCATAGGTCTTTAAAAAACAGAAAATATGTCCGAACTTATAATTCATATTATTAACTCAACCTCATATTAGAAATCTGATCCTTATTTACTTTACTTATACTTTATATAATACATGAAATATTAAGTTATCCTTCAGGAGAAGAAATAACGAAAAACAAAATGAAATGAATTAAAGAATGATAAAAATGTATTAATAAACGTAGCAAAGGTCTGTAGATAAGATTAGATTATAGAGATATGTGGATTGAAGAAATGAGAAATTTCTGTCTAGCATTGTATGAAAGGATATCGAATTGGAAGAACAATGTTACGCTTTCTGCTGCTTACTTCTCTTTTTGTCTGCGTTCTTGGTAAGTCTTCCGCATGAGATATGAAAGAACAATATTGAAAATATACTCAAACAGATTTTCAGAAACCAGCGAGTGCTAGTTAATATACGAACTGGGTAATGAATAACCTGAAACTGGAATTTGACTCATGTTGTGGAAGTCGATTGATAATTAATACAGCAGTAGACGTTTGTGTAATTTTGTGTACCAATCCTGAATATTTGTAGGCGCTGCCCCACGGCTCAGACGCCCGCGTCTAGACGGCCGAATTATCGGCGGTGTAGATGCAGATATCGAAGACTATCCGTATCAGGTAAAACTGTGACAGTGGACCGGGTGAAAGATTGCTCAAGCCTTTATAATTGTGTGAACGATTAATCCTTTTTACCAATGTTCCCAGCTCTCAGTCGAGTACAGCAACAGCCATATTTGTGGAGCTGCAATCATCAGCGCCAACTGGGTTGTGACGGCTGCGCAGTGCGTCGATGGGTAAGTTGGTCTTCTGCTTCTATTTCCTGACATCATAACCCGATTTGGGTGTTGATAGTCCCTACCATCGTTTACACAAATTCCCTCTCCAACTACTACTGTCGTCATTTATTGGTTTTCAGTACTGTTTAGAGTTTTCTTATACTTGATATTTATTGTAGAAGGGGCAATTAACACCAGGGGAATAATAACGGCTGTAGCTGTAGTTGTAGTAAAAATGACGTAGAGAAACCGCCGGCGTTTAGTTATTATTTTTATTATTATTCTTATTGGGGTGAAACTGATTCCAATTGGTAAAGTAAGTTAAAAAGTAAAGGTATCCCTGTAACAGGCCGTGGAGGCCCATAGGGTTGTGAGATGTTGAGGTTCTTACATTTTCTAAACAATCGGCTCAAAGATGGCGGTAAGGTTGTCAGCCTTACTTGCCGGCCGCCCTTTACCCCTAAAACATTCTAAGAATATTCCTGCTACTCATTTCTGTTAGTTGCTGAGTCGACCCCAGGGCCACACAAGACCATCAACAAGTGTACATGTTGAATTGCATAATTTTGTGGCCCGTATTATGGTGACATAAGCCGATCATGGTAGCCGAGCGGTCTAAGACTTGTACTGTCTTCGCTCGCTCCGAAGCCAGGATCGTGGGTTCGAATCCCACAAAGGCATAGATATTGTTATTTGTATATGTTAATTCTGTGTTTGTTCGTCATATGCTTAGGTAGAGGCTTTGCGACGAGTTAATCACTCGTCCAAGGAGTCCTACCTTCTGTAAAATGATCATGAATCTAAAAATCAGAGGCCAGAGCCAAAGGGGGCTGTAGAGCCAGTAAAAAAATTTACAGTGACATAGAGCCTCTTAACCAAGCACCAAGCTACAGGCCAGTCGACCAAATAAATATCAAGGGAAGTGAAAATAAGAGCTTTTTTAAGAAGGGAGGGCCTGTTCTTCCACTCTACTATCGTAGCCTAGCTGTTGACGGCCAGCCCCTTCCTAATGCAATCCTANACACCCCCCCCGGGGGGGGGGGGGGAATAATCGGAATGCAGGAAGGGAGGGTAGAAGGTGGAGGGAATCATCTCTGAGAATCATTTGCCCATCTGATCTACATCAAAACCGGGACGCAAGTAGAGTTCTGCTTGTGACCTGCGAAACATCGGCCGGTTGAAATAAATCAATATTACAGTTAAAGCTTTCGTTCATAACAAAAGATTTAAAGAAACTGAAATGAAATGTTAATTTATGCCATTTACTAGTATTAAGACAATCACGGCCGCGCCATAGCTCCAGCGGTTAGTCGCTGGCTTCTCGCTGGTTTCCCATCGCTGCGGCCCGGGTTCGATCCCGGGTCTGGTCAAGTGGGATTTGTGGTGGAAAAAGTGGCGCTGGGGCGGGTTTTCTCCGAGTACTTCGGCTTCCCCTGCGAATCTTCATTCCGCCAAATTCTCAACCATCAAAATCACCCGGGGCAGGTACAATAAGCCAATCAGTGGCCGCCGTGCCGAGCGGACCCGGTTGGACTTCACCCCCCACTAGCGAATTAAAAAAAAAGACAGTCATACACATGTTTGCCTCCGTCGGCCAATATCCTTATGTGCCTGTGTGACATCGCATGGCGTTTCTTTTTCGTGCAGTTGTCGGTTGTCAAGCAACATGTGGGTACAGATAACGTCTGCACTGCTAATGCTTAGCAACCAAACTAGAGGCGATGGATGGGAAGCAATGGACGAAAGGTTTATGTACCGATATTGTAGAGGGTATCCGAAAGCATTATTGCGTCACCTTGCTTCTTGTCCACAGATTGTCTCCTTCCCGCGTCCAATTCCGCGCCGGAAGCAGCATCAGAGGCAAGGGAGGTTCCGTCCACCTGGCAACTCAGCTGATTGCTCATCCTCTGTACGATTACTACACAATCGATTTTGATGTTGCAGTTGTCAGGGTAAGTTCTTGTTTTTCATTTGTGTGTGTCGCTCTTCTTGACGGAAGCAGTTTCAGAAGTGCTCACCACACTGCTATCGAAACAAGAATATCAGTGCACAGAAAGAAACAAATTCAATTTCAAATGAATTTACATTATTTTATTAAATAGCTAATTAAATTAAGTGGCAGTCGATGTAACTACTCGGCTACGGACTGGGAGACCGAGGAGTCGGATTTCGATTCGAGGTAGGAGCAAGAATTTTCCTCTTCTCCATACTCTCCAGGCCAACTCTGAGGAGCAGCTCCCTATAAAATGGGTACCGAGTGTTATTTCTCTGGGGTAAGTCGACAGGGGCGTGAAGCTGACCACTCATCTCGATCTAATGCCGAAATTAAAAATGGTAGAACTACTACAATGTTTCCATTCCGCCCTAAATCTTCATGACGTAATGCTTAATTTCTTAAGCCCAGGGATAATTTTCCCTTCTTTACTTTCAATTCAAAGAGTCTTTGCTCTTGGGGATGTTAGTTTTGCACAAATATCTTAATCGATCGAAATGCTCGCATCGCAATTGCCCTAGCATTCTCAGCATGACGCTGAATATATTGTGGATAATTTAGGTGCTTGATTAGTCTAACGGCACAGTAACCGAACCGAACCGAACTGTTTCGAGTCGAAAATAGCCTGAGTCAGCAACACCCTGTAAAGGGGACTCACTTATTTTGCGCACGTCCATGCATTCATCTGTCACATTGTATGAGTGGAGTACAGTGGATTCATAAACGTAAAAGGCAAAGTTGTCCCTGTGCTTAAATAATTAAACACCGCGCCATGAAGGAGTGTGAGGGAGTGGATGTATAGATCACATTTTCTTGAACTCGGCACTAGTTGGAGGTGAGTGGACAGCTTTACGCACCGGCTGTTTTATCCCCGGGAGAAGAACCACCGTTACCCATTGGATGGGAGGCTGAGTTGGCCCCAACACCGGTCTGGACGACTTGGAGAAGAGAAAACTCTTGCCCCTCCACGGATCCGCACTCTTATTCCTGTGTCCCAGTCCTCAGCCAGAAGCTATACCGACTGCACTACCCCGGGTCCCCCAGTGGATTCAAGTCAAGTGAAACGGAATGTATGTTTCCGCTGCGCCTTAGTGAGTGAGATTCAATTCCACACACCCGAATTCGTAATGCAATTGGTCATTCAGTGGTCTCCGCTTAGTGGGGGGTGGAGTCAAACTGGGTGCACTCGGCACGACGACCACTGATTGGCCTATTGTAGCCTGCCCCGGGTGATTATGATAATGGAGAATTTGGTTGAATGAAGATTGGCAAGGGAAACCGAAGCACTCGGAGAAAACCTGCCTCAGCGCCACTTTGTCCACCACAAATCTGACTTGACCAAACCAGGGATCGAACCCGGGCCGCCGCTCTGAAAAGCCAGCGACTAACCGCTTGAGCTATGGCGCGGCCTATTCAGAGGTCTTAGTTCACAATGAAATATCAGACTCAAGAAACTGTGTAAGATACGTCAAGGTAGGTAGCATAAACTCTATTTATCTGAGAAATTTTCCTTGCCATGTTTACCAGCATGAAGATGAATTTCATCAGACCTCACTTAATTGGAGAATTCCAGTAAAACAGGGACATGTATACGGTGGTGGACTGCAGTGCAAATGTGTCCTGCCAAATTTGTACTTTGAAAGTTCTGGGAAGACAGATAGATGTATAATCTGGTACTAGGATCTAGAGGAAATATTTCCTGCAAAGTTGTTCTATTAAATCAAACTTCTTCAGAAATACTTAACGTCTCCTTTTCTTCATCTGGTAACAAAGGGCTATGATAGCCATAGCGTGGTTCACCAACAAGCAAATGGAAATCGGTTCTTTCAGTCACATCTTGAAAAAATATTAAGCCCATTACGGAGTGATTTGGCTCACACATAAAACGTTAATGCTGAGAGATAATTCACACATTTCTCTTTCTGCTACATCACCGTACAATCCATTCCTTCCTATGCACATATTTAAACTATTCCTTATCCTAACCAGCCTCAAATCATTTTGTATTATCTTAAATGTGGCAAATGTGCGGAAATTTATAAACATTGTATTTCCGTCTCTAGCTACATTTTCCACAGATAATTTCTCTATTGGTTGACCACAGTGGCCTTGCAGTCTAAAGCATGAACTGTCTCTGCCTGCTCGAACACTAGGGTCGTGGGCTCGATTCCCACTGAAGACATGGATGTTTGTGCGTTTCTTATCTTTGTCTTTTCCTGTGTGTATGTAGCGACCTTGGACTGGTTGATCTCTCGTCCAAGGAGTCCTACCGACCGTGTAATAATATTACGAAACTGAATCAGAGGACAGGGCCCAACAAAGGGCTGCAGAGTCATTGATGAATGAATGAACGAATTTCTCTGTTGACCGACTCTTAGACGTGGTATCACAATTGTACTGAATACTCGAGAAGTCAGTAATTGAAAGTTTATTGGCAAACGTCGAAATACAACGTCGACTAAACCATAGGCACTTCTTCCTGGTGTCTACTCGTATATGAGCCTATCCGCCACGTCCAACAGTAACTACTCACTTACAGTGATGGAATAAGGACATAAGAACGAGATAAGTCAAAGGCTATCTAACTCCACGGAGTTAAGTGATTGCGAATCTAACAGCTCTTCTCTTCGAGAATGAATTCTCATCTGCTTATGAAAGAAGAGTGTTTTTATCATGGATTTCTATGACATATATACATATATATATGTATCATTCATCAGTAATCTGTCAGACGACAGGTCCACAGTCTCTTCCAAAACAGTTCCTCCACTTAATGCGATCTCAAGCTTTCTCCTTCAAATAAAATATCTTCTTCTGTCCCCAAAGTCATCCAGCATTTATATACATATATATATATAGAGAGTTGCTAAAAATCTATACCTTTCTTATTAAATAATGTACATTAATAATTTATGACAAGTCTTCATATCGACCGATGGAAGCAGGAGAGTTAGATATACGTATTTCAATAGTTCCACCAAGATATTGGCATATTCTGATATCATCATGCTTGGTGGCTTATCAGTTCTTCTCGGTGCACTGACACGTATGACGGATTTTAGGTATACCAAAAGCAAAAATCGAGTTAATGTGAGTTCCGTTGACCTGGATGGTCACTCAATTGGATCTTTCCGCCCAGTCAATTTCCTTGAGAATGTGCCGCTGGGAATTACAAAATGTTATCTGCTGAATAAAGAAAATGTCCTGTTGAATAAAAACTCCTTCCGGTGTCAAGAATATATACCCTAAAACTCTAAAATGGACTCTTCCAGAATATTTAGATATGTCGAAACCCATGATATATTCATTACAAACATAGGGTCAGTGATTGTGCCTTCCAAGTACCATTCTACACCATACATGGATCATTTCGAACGTCGGTGTCTTTAGTTCATGTGACCAGTAAAAGGAGTCGTATCTTTCCACATGAGTAGTCTCTTCACTGAAACCCCCTATAGAATGAGGTTCTTGTGACTCGCGAACGAATTCCTCTCTACTATTACCGCCATCTTCGTGTAGTTTCCCAGCCAAATTCACCACATGAAGTAGAAAATGATGTGGCACGGTTATCGCTTGAATGAAAGGACGGTTCATGTTGTACCAATTCTCAAGTCAAGAAATTGAGCCAGCGCCATTTTGTTGCCCTGATCGTCGGTTACTAATACGAGTCTTCCAGTTAATAGATCATGTGCACTTCCGGCCTTTTCTTTATTTTTTAAAGTGACTCCATCAGCCTAAGTGGTTACTGGGCCCGTTATTTGGGGTGAATTAAAAAAGATAAAGATTCCCCTATGCTTAACTAATTTCGCACTAAGCCATTAAGGCGTTTGGAGGAGTGGATGTATAGACCCATGTTATCTTGACCAGAGCACATTTTTTTTATTGCTAGTGGGTTGGGACTAAGTCCCTTGTACTGCGGCCACTTCTGGCCTATTATACCAGCCCCAGATGATAGGTGAGGGTGATTGTGGAGCAATTGATGGAATGAAGATTGGCAGGGGAAACCGAAGTACTCGGAGAAAACCTGCCCCAGCGCCACTTTGTCCACCACAAATCCCACTTGACTAGACCCGGGATCGAACACGGGCCGTCGCGGTGGAAAGCCAGCAGCTAACCTCTTGAGCTATGGCGCGGCCTGACCTCAGCACTATTTGGAGGTGAATGGTCAGTTCTACGACCCGGCCACTTTACAGCCGGGGAAAGGGCCCCAGGTACTCTTTGGATAGGAGGCTGGGTGGGCCCCAGAGCCAGTTTGGATGACATGGAAAAGAGAAAATTCTGACCCTAGTGGGACTCGAACTCCGAGCCCCGGTCACCCAACACGTAGCCAGTCGCTATACCGACTACGCTATCCCGGCTCCTGTAATTTGGGTGTTTGTTATTGAATGCATCCGCAAGCGCGAGCTGGGAGAGTACAATCTTCCACACATCCATATCAGCACCACTTTGTCTCCAGCAGTTACGCATTCCTCCACTTAAGTATCTCGCCTGCAAGAAAGAAAATAGAGTGACAGCGATATTTCAGGATTTTCGGGCCATTCTGTATGTATCGATGATTTTCAGGTGTCTGTTCCCTTCGCTTTCGGAGTTGCAGTCCAGCCAATTTCACTGATCATCTCTGAACCTGCTGCTGGTGAGTACGGAGTGGTGACTGGATGGGGAACTCTCTCTTCAGGAACGTCCGAACTTTCCACTCTTCTCCAAGCAGTGAATGTGACCATCGCATCTCGTGAAGAATGCAATGCTGCATATTCCGTCTTTGGTGGCATCACAGAGCACATGATCTGCGCAGGCTCTTCTGGTGGAGGAAAAGGCGCTTGTCAGGGTGACTCTGGAGGTCCTCTGGCTGTTCGTGGAGAACTGGCTGGCATCGTATCCTGGGGAGGTGGTTGTGCTCAAGATTCGTACCCCGGCGTGTATACAAGCGTTGCAAGCCTTCGTGATTTTATTACTGAACAAGCCGGAGTAAAGTAGAGCTATGACGTTCATAGACATTACTTGCTGCACATAACACCTTGAAGAGCACGTTGCTAAGATAAAGTTGCTGCTGAGAAGGGACAATTCTTTCCCAGACAGTGGTATTACTCGCCTGTGAGTCATGACTGTTATAGTGTCCTAGATGGGGCCCTTTGCAATGTCTGTACTAGGGATTCTTCAGGGATTTATCATTAAAGTATCTCTAAATATTAACGACTATGTGTTTTTAGAGTCTGTATGTGCAGTGTGAAATTTATAATCAGTTCTTTCTTTTAAATAATCCATACCAACTGTTGTCATGAATCTGCGAGCCAAACTGCTAATAGAATATCGAATTTACGAGTAATATACAAGCATATACGAGTAATATTCCCATGAAACGGCCATAAAGAAGTAAAAATATGATATTATTGACTGGATTAATTATTTACGTGAAGTTAGCAACAACTGGGAGGCCATTTTGTGCACGACGATAAATTTCACTGTTCCATCAGGAGCGACGAATTTCTTGTCGATCGAATATCAGCTTCTCAGAAGGATTTCTGAGTTAGTTAGATGACCTTAAACAGCTGAGCCATTTATATATGAATATTATGTTCTAATAACAGTAAATATTCCTGTCAAATAAATTTCTAAGTAGATTTTAAGAGTTCTGATAATGGTGCATAACGCAAAGAATTACTGTTTAAGTTTTCTATCGTCCGGTATTCTAGAAACTAGAAAATACGACGTTTCGAAACAGGATCTGTTCCATCCTCAGGTGAGGGGGAGACACCCAATCAGTTGGGTCACTTAGAAAGACCTAATCTCAATCATTACTTATAAAATATACACAAGAGGGGAATGCATGTGAATTTTGTGGATCTCTGCTGAAATTATCTTTTATGCTTCCACGAAATGCTTCGTGAAATACGTTCAGATGTGAAGTACAGTTGAGTGCGGGGAATGTACGAACTCCAGAGCCTCAGACGCAAAGCTGATCCTAATAGAAATGACAAGCACGCAATATCTATAATCGCATTGCAAAACTGAAACCACTATCAGCAGAAATCCTGCGGAAACAAGATACTCGATGATAAATTTTGCATTTATAAAATGATACACACCGTCAGAGGCAGCCACATCGTAAGTGTACGCATTACAGGGGCATCCCGAAAGACCGGAAGATGCATCTACTTCTTGATCTCCACTTTGGTCTCGTTTATTTTTGTTTCCTGACGTACAATTCACTTTACTCTAGAAATAGTATTATATTCCAGGATGTGACGTCATATAACCTGGTAGAAATTTTGGGATGTTTCGCAGGAACGCGCTGTTTCCATATTCATACTGAAGAAGAAGTCTTTCTTAATGTTTGCTTGCTGACTTTCTTCACTAAATCAACTCTGAAATGGAGGTAGCGCATTCCCCGAAATCTTCTGTAAATTTCCACCAGATTACACGGCGTCACATCCCAGAAGTTAGTCCCCTTAATTGTCATCGCCACAGGTATATCAAATATTACATGCTTTTGTCTAATTGAACGTTTTCTACATGTACAGCCACAGACATTCCTAATTGATTGCTTGAAATTGTGTTACGAGAGTGATTTAATTTGATATTGCAAGGCATGAAGAATGCGCATGCTTACATTGTACTTCCGACCCCTTTGGGGTAACCAGAAAACATGAGGGTCTCATCACCACCTACAGTTCTCTGAGACTAATATACAGAATTTATGCAACACTTCTCTCCGTGAGCATGTTTTATCCGCACATAACAATTTAAGGTTCCTTATTTCATCTACATAACACCTACGATACGTAGGATAAATCAGATATCCTTACAGTATTTGCAGGGTTGGAGAGAGATTGAGTCCCTTCATATTTTCGTACCACGTCGCTTTGTTTTGCAGCCTCTGATGATAAACGAGCATGGAGCATTAACTGAATGATAAGCGACAGGGAATACAAAAGTTCCCGAAAAATGAAAGGTTTCCCAGTGTCACTTTCTCTATCGTAATTCCGTCATGGACTACCCAGGGATAAAACTCGGCTCTCCGCGGTGAGACGCAGGTTTTTCTTCATTGCTAGTGGGGTGGGGCTAAGTCCCTTGTACTGCGGCCATTTCTGGCCTATTGTACCAGTCCCAGATGATAGGTGAGAGTGATTGTGGAGTAATTGGTGGAATTAAGATTGGCAGGGGAAACCGAAGTACTCGGAGTAACCATGCCCCAGCGCCACTTTGTCCACCACAAATCCCACTTAACCAGACCCGGGATCGAACCCAGGCCTCCCCGGTGGGAAGCCAGCGACTAACCGCTTGAGCTATGGCGCGGCCCTAGAGACGCAGGTTACTAATAGCCTGAGCTATATCACAAACGTAATAAGTCTTTCTCTAATGTGGTAGGTGTCCGAAATTATTAAGTTGTTATATGAAGTACGGTTAAAATTATAATTTGAATTAGTAAGGCATGAAATGAAATGCGATTTGGGATACATAATATTGCAGATAATTTCGCAAAATAAAATGATAAAATATGAGAGTCCCCAAGAATGTCAGAATGTTATTTATCAACTCATCGGTAATATTTACAAAATTATTTAATATTTCTCTTCGTCAGCATATTATATCTGCAAAAGAAATGTTTGCATTCTATCACATTAATATTTACATTTGAATTACAATTCTATTTTGTCCATAAGTACTGAAATATATGAAAAAAAATACAATATATTTGACACAAAACCTACATCTCATTAAAATTTTAAGTGATTTGTTAGTGAAGTACCAGATAAATCCTTAGTGTGGTTCACGCACATCATTCAGCAGTCAAGGATACTGGATATGATAGGCACTAATGATATACCTTATAGGTCAATATTATAAAACCACTTTATTTAAATAAATTATATTTCAGAAATATTCTCAATGTCTTGCAATATCACAGTCCTAGGCCACACCAGTTTCTTTTGTAACGAAACTCCTGAGAGCTGCAACATTGGAGTACACTCCGGGGTACAATGGTTCACCACACCCAGCTCCCCAGGAAACGATGCCGGCCAGGCGTCTCTCAATAACCAAGGGACCGCCTGAATCACCCTGGCAAGAGTCTTCACCTCCACCAGTTACACCTGCGCAGATCATATTCTCTGTGATTCCACCAGATTCTTCATACGCAGCGTTGCACTCTTCACGAGACACAATTGACAAAGTCACCACTTGAAGCTGTCTTGGAAGGGATGAAGATCCTGATGATAGAGTTCCCCAGCCCGTCACCACGGAGCTGTGACCAGCATAAGGTTGAGAAGTGGATAGTGTAATCGGCTGTACGCTTGGTCCGAATTCAAAGGCAATGGACACCTAAGGAAGAATACAGAAAATTCTTAAGAAACACCTTATTCATCCTCACATACGTTTCATGAAGTTACATATATAACTGTAAATATATATGTATCGTAAAATAACTCATTCCATAATCTTAGCACTGAATATTCAACTGCAAACTTGATATTGCTTCTGTAAGGTCAGAGTTCGAGTCCTGACAGGGTCAAGAATTTTCTCTTCTCCAAATCGTCCAGACTGGCTCTGGGATCCACCCAGCCTCCTATCCAATGGGTACCGGTGGCTCTATCCCCGGGAGTAAAGCGGGAGAGGGGTGTTGCTGACCACTCACCTCTAGCTAGTGCCGAGGTAAAGAAAAAATATGGATATATACAGGTATATCCACTCCCCCATACGCCTTCATGACGTAGTGCTTAATTAGTTGATCACAGACAATTTTACCTACAGCTGCACTTCAGTTGCGTGGTGTTTAATTCAGCAGTAGAATAGTTTACTCTTTTCACAATGAAAGCTAATTCTGAAATTCCCAAGCTACTTCTCTATTTAAATAATGATCATGATATAAAAACCCATGCACCTGAAGTAATTGTATCTGGATTAAAGAATTAAAAAGAATTGCAGTAACTTACCCTACCAACAGCGATGTCGAAGTCGACTGTGTAGTAATCGTATCGTGGGTTAGCAATCAGCTCACCTGCTGGGTGAATGGAACCGCCAGTGCCCCTGAAACTGCTCCCAGCGCGAAATTGTACGTTGGAAGCAGAGATCCTGAACAACAAAATTTGCGCGAATGTATATTTGATTTCCTCCGTTAAAATAACAGAGAAGTAAGAATTTCTACTCTTAGGGAAAAATAATATTGTAAGCTCAAAACAGTAATCAAAACTGATCGGTTAGATTATAAACACAGATCTCAGTCAAGTACCTCCAAAATACGAATCGTTTGAAATAAAAGATACAATGAAATTATGAGTCACAATATACTGACAGAATTCTAATGAAAATAAGAATCGAAGTTACTAATTTTTCGTAATTAACATTTTTAATCCAGTGAAATATTATCACAGCCATGTTAGATGGTTTGTTTCTTCTAAACATGGTTATCAGGGTTTAATCCCGAAAACTTCACGTGAGATTCGTTATGGGAAACAGTGGAGCAGGTTTCTTTCTCTGAGTTCCTCAGTTTCCCCTTGCTAATCATGATTTCAATATTCCTCCATACTCATGTAGCACCTCGCCCGTGTGAGGCGCTACCCAACACCAAACCCCATATCCTCGCATTGCCAGTGTCTTCATGTCTGACACGGCACTAGGTTCCTCGCAGAGTGAGGAAGTTTGACTGTAAAGTATCTTTATTGCCGTCAACTTACCCATCAACACAATGGGCCGCAGTCACAATCCAGGAAGTTCCTATAATTGAAGCACCACAGATGTGGTTCCCAGAGTACTCGAAAGAAAGCTGAAAGAAATCATAAAATATTATTTTTCTTCTAATAATAATCCCTTGTCAATATTCAGTTACTTACTTACTTACTCATGGGGCTGAGCCCTTCTTGAGGAGCCGCCAATTCTGCAGCTACTCAAGAATTTCCCAGCATTTTATGAAACCCGAAGGTTCTTTAACGTGTTCACAAGAGCCCTCCACTGGTCCCTATCCTGAGCCAGATCAATCCAATCCATACCCTCCCACCCCATCTCTCTAAGATCCATTTCAATATTATTGACCAGCCTACTTCTATGTCTTCTATGTCTATGTCTCTTTCCTTCTTACTTTCCCACCAATAACCTGTATGCAGTCCTCTTCTCCCCCATTCGTGCTACACACCCTGCCCACCTCATCCTTCTTCACTTGCTCATTCAAATTATACTTGGAGAAGAGTACAAGTTATCTCCCCCATTCGTGCTACACACCCTGCCCACCTCATCCTTCTTCACTTGCTCATTCAAATTATACTTGGAGAAGAGTACAAGTTATGAAGTTTCTCATTATACAGTTTTCTTCAACATTCTTTCAGGTCAATATGCAGTTAACAGATTATATACTTCGTGAATAATGTCTGAAACTTCTGCTCTGTTCCACACACCACGACACTAAAATATTAAAATTCCTTCAATGATATATTTTCATCAGGCTTTTCAATTATTTGGGTAGTCATAGTTTTACCTGATATGGATAGTTAGCGATATCTGCATCTTCACCCCCAACAATTCGGCCGTCAATGCGGGGGCGTCGGTGTCGGACAACGGCACCTGAAAATAATTAAATTTAGCGTCCAGAATTAAGCAGATTTGTGCCACATGTTTAACACGTAAAATGTAAATCATTTACATTATGACAAATGACTTACTACTGCAGACAATGACTCTAACAAAAGACAGACCCGTCCTCTCGTCAGAGAGGGCGCCCCACAATAAAACAAAAACAAGACCGTAACTGTCAAACTGTAATAAATATATGGTCATGAGTCCAAGACGGGGCTCGACACTAGGACCTACTGACTGACTGACTGTTGGATCCGGAACTTTCAGGCTCTAACAGTTTTAACTTCGCTTTGAGATCTGAGGTTCTTACAGCAGTGAAAATAGAGATTACGGCATTCGGTGTCGATACACCATGTAGCTTCGCCAATGATTTCAAACGTTTCGAAAGCACCAACTCCCTCTATAACAAGGAAAGCAAAGCGAGACAATTTGGGATGTAGGCAGGTTATATACGAAAGGCAACCAATGGGAATAGGAAAGGAGAGGCCAGATGGAGGCTCTAGAAATCATAACTTTCAAGGCAGGCTTATTAGCAGCAACTTCGAAGGTCAGGAACTCTTCGGAGCTAAGTATAATGGAAGTGCTTCCTTTGTCTTTAGAGACGGAATTTCCAAATTTCACTCACTCCTACTCCGAAAATGGAGACAGCGGTTTCTACCGAAACGCTTGTAATGATTATGATACTGCAGAGTGTCATAACATAGTCGGACAGAATCCTAAATATATTGTGTACAGAATACTTACCCAGGCTGCAAGCGACGATGGATGCAAGTACCAGGAAACGAAGCATGTTGCTGGTCAGATCGTTACAGGACTACTCTGTCTCGCTCAGTCCCTTCGCAGTCCATTTATATAAATTGAGAAATGCATGGTGTATTTTTCGCTGGTCATTCAAGTGTGTATCTAGATATCAGAGATTTATCTACTTGCTTTCATTTTGATAGGAAAACCCCATTTCTCGTAAGTATGTCAGGAAATTCTCAGTTATCAATAAGAGTGAGTAAATATTTAATCTGAAAATTTTCCAATTACGTTAATTCAAGAACTGCTGTTCCTTTCCATTTAAATACGCTACAATAATTTATCGAATAGTCTCTTACGCATTTTAAGAATGTCCAAGAATTTAACACCGCAAAAGAAATTATTTAATCACACACTTTTAATAAGTGTTAACTCTATGGAGCAGAGTCTTTGTTAGGAAGTTGATCATCGCTAATCTAGTAAAGGAATTCCCGTGTGTACGGAAACCGAACGTGCATTGCCATGCCCACCAGAGATAACCGCTGGCCCCTCTCCTCAGCCTCACAAATCCATTCCAGAGAACTCCTCTCCAACACTTTTTCTATAACATCAATTTTAATATTATCCTCACATCTATACCTACGTCTTCCAAGCGGTCTCTTACTTTCAAGTTTTCCGATCAAATTTTGTAATTATTTCTCATACCTCGCATGCGCGCTGCATGCACCTTTCCTTTGAGCATCGAATAATTCTATGTTTCTTAAATTTAAAACTTAATGAGTCAATTTAAAGACATTCATGAAAAAGTTTGGCACTAAAACTCCTTAAAATCTGAGTTGTTGATGTCCTAATTATGACAAATTTCTGTTCCGCCTATTACGAGCCTCATAATGGCAATGTTTCTAAACATATTCATCTGCCTTGTCTGTAAAACCTGCTCACGTTGACATCGGATTCTGAGCTGTCACTCAAATTTCCAATCACGTGTCCGAAATGAGTGCCTTCTACCCACGATTCATTTCTTCCCATTACTACACACTTAATTGCAAGATATTTTCTACACTAGAACGTGATCGGCTCTGTGGTCTAGTGGTTAGAGTTCCTGGCTACAGATCCAGAGGTCCCGCGTTCGATTCCCGGCGCTACCAGATTTTCTGAGAAGTAGTGGGTCTGGAACGGGATCCACTCGGCCTCGTGAAGGTATTGGGAAGTTATTTCACGGAAGTGGCGGCTCCGGTCTAGAAAGTCGAGATTAATGGCCGTGGGAATTCATTGCGCTGACCACTCAACACCCTCTATCCGTAAAAGTTGGCACTAACTTCGCCGAGAAGCGGCTGTCGCTCGCTCGGCATAGACTGAAAGACCACGAAGAACGGGACCGGTTTGAAAACTGAAATTGCATAAATTTGGTTAAGGCAAAATCTCGGACCAAATAACTCATAATATCATACGGATGTTGTGTTTCCAATTTACAGTGATGTCCAGGCAGAACTTACGAAGCCTGTCTGCCTACTGTGCAGGATTTGCTCGCAAAACAAGAAAATTCATTTACTTTTGAACCCTTTGGCAGCCCTGCAGAGCGTCTGTTAAGTTCGCCATGTCCGCCCGTCTGTTTATGCTTCCGCCCTTCTTACGCAGAAGTAACTCAAGGACGGCTACGTGAAATTTCATGAAATTTTATTCGGAAAAATTTACGAAGAATTATTGGGTCATTTCAATATCCGTTAATATCGGACAGCTTTAACGTCTGCTTGACATGATAATGTAAATACCTTCCCACGTCATCTCGGCCGTAGCTTGCTAAATATTTGTCTAAGAGAAACATGTTTCTAACAGACGTTGTAAAGAAAAATAAAGCAACTATTTTGTGTCCAGTATGCTTCTGCGTAAGTCATGCGGTTAACTAGTAAACGAAGCAAAAGTGGCCTTAAGAATATATTCAAGAAACGCCGGTCACGGTAGTCGAGCGATCTAAGGCATGTACTCGCTCGGAAGCCGGAATCGTGGGTTCGAATCTCACACAAGGTATAGATGTTCGGTATGTGTATGCATTTGCTCTGTGTTTGTGTTGTCCTGTGATTAGGTAGAGGCCTTACGACGAGCTGACCACACACGCAAGGGGTCCTACCGACTGTAAAATGATCATGAAATTGAATCGGAGGCCAGGGCCCAAGGGGGCTATAGAGCCAGCGAAAATATGTATTCAAGAAATAAGGGAGGTTTCCGAAAGAACCCCGAGATTATTGTTGCCTTTTATTTTCTGTAATGATTAAAGGAAGCCGCATAGGTTTATTATGGTTTCTAGCTTCAGGCAACCTGAGTATTATCATCCAGTATTCTATAGACGAATAATAATTTGATGTCTCTTCATTGTATGGAATAGTTCATTGTATTCTTAATTAGGCCTAACTAGTATCTGTAAATTAAGGCACTTCGGAAAATACAGAATGTTTCTTCCCTATTTTATATAAATCACATTTTCTGATCTGATAATAACGGAAATCAGTACGTCATTTAGTTCCTTCTAACAAAAGCCACAGAATCATGCATGAAGTATGTTTCTACAACCTCGTTTGTTACGGCTTTGAATTTAAGAAATGTCTATAACAATGAGTGAAAGTAACAAGGTAAAATTGTCTCTCTGCTTAATTAATTAAGCTTCTCGCCCTGAAGATGTGCTGGGGCGTGGGAGTATATCTCCACTATTCTTGATCTCGGTGCTAGATGGAGGTGAGCAGTCAGCTTCATGACTTGCTAATTTACCCATGCGGAAAGAGTCCCCTGTACACTTTGAATAAGGGGCTGGATAGGCCCCAGAGATGGTCTAAAGTTTGCGAAGAAGAGAAAAATTCTTCCTCTGCTGGCAATCGAACCCAGGCCTTCCATTCCGTTGCTATACAGACTGAGCTATCCATTTTTTCCTATAAAAATATATCTCAATTTATTTGTTTCGAAATCCAGTGAAAATTGTAGCTAATGTAAAAACCACTGGAAGGGAGCTACAGCGGTCCGATTTAAGATGTCATCACGGAATTTGATCTTAGGGGAGCTGCCAGAAACCAAAAAATTCTCAATTCGTGACTCGAACTACGCATTTCCTGGATATAAGACAGAATCTTTACCGGTTGGGCCACCTTATCAGTTTCACGAAACTGAATTGATTGCAAGAAGGGAGAAATCCCTATATAGCTGCTAGGAGCATAAATCGTTTTGCGAGCAAGTTCTATCCTTCAGTGAACTATGAGTAGTTGGTTTCTAAAGGAAGATCCATCTCCGTTAGAAAGATACCGTACTGCATCCCATGTACAGGTAAATTAACAAATGAATGTAGAAAACGAACCAGGCAAGTTAGCTCAGACGACACATATTCTGGTATTCATTCTGACAATGGTTGGTTCTAATCAGGTATCGAGTACCCGGGCTGAGAATTTTTCTAGGTTTACTAAGTCGGTTCAGAAAATTGTTAGTTTAGTGCCTTCATTTTTTTAATTTGCTAAAGGGGAGGGGGGTGGAGTCCAGCTGGGTCCACTCGGCACGGAGGCCACAGATTTGTCTGTTGTATCTGCCCCGGGTGATTATGATGATGAATTATTTGGTGGAATGAAGATTGGCAGGGGAAACCGAAGTATTCGGAGAAAACCCGCCAAATCACCACATTATCCACCACAAATCCCACTTGACCAGAACCGGGATCGAACCCAGGTCGCCGCGGTGGGAAATCAGCGACTAACCGCTTGAGCTTAGGTGCGGCCACTAGTGCCTTAAATTAGTCTTTCGACTACTTTCCCAATTCATTATTGGTTGCTATCCAACCATTCGACACAATGTAGCCTGAGTTACTGATAGCGTCGTTGAACATGGAACGTAAACATCACCGTAGCGGTTATTCACCACCGCAATTAGCTCAAAAATACAAAGCCCATTAGACTCCATTGTGCTCGGGTTTGTTTCCCAGTCTACTGATGCATATTGCATCCGGTTCTTGTGGGCGTAAAGTAAATATTGTCACGTGTATTAGTGAATGTGGACAAGATTTGGATTGGTGAACAGATTTATTGGACATTCACAGGTCGTATCTACAAATAATTATAACACTCTAACGCTGTAACTATAGCACACAAAAAATATCATCAATTTCGGCTTGCTAGTCTTTGCTTGGTAAGGAACCTTATCCTGTTAACACGTCACAGCTAAATACTCAACTACTGAACTCCTTTTGAATTCCCTGACGAATGAATATATTGAATTCTAGTCAAAGTCAAAGTCATACTGTGACTGGTCACCTAATAAGTCTTGGTGTAGAGCCCCTTTTGGGGCTCATGACCAGATATTTATTACTGTTTGACAGTCACTGTCTTTTTTTTTTTTTGTGGAGCGCCCTCTCTGACAAGAGGACGGGTCTGTCTTTTGTATACGCTGCTGGCGCTTGCCAGCGCAGTCTTTCTCAGGTCTGAGTCCCTTGGAACTCGCGACCATGTTTTACTGTCTCATACTTAAGAATTCCCTTTCCGTCGCCTCCTACGACTCGCAGGGTCATAGTGGAGGTATTCGACCACGCCTCCACACAGATCTCTATTGAATTCTGGGAGGAACTCTCTTTTATAACTTCGAGAGAAACGAATAGAAGCCACCACACTGAACTGTTCGTCTTTTGGTCTCTTGTATCCGTTGCAGCGGAAAATAGTAAGCCGTTGCCTAGCAAATGGGCTTCCGCTTCTGTTCCTTTTCCGGATTTCAGGAGGTGTTTGTCTAACCGTTGCCTATCAGATAGTCATATTAGCCACAATATATACATGAAAACGTAATGAATTTGAAATGGAATGCTTTTCCTCTTGTTTCTGACTGCCACAGGAAGACCGTTCTACCTGCTCCCGTTACTCGCCTTGTTCTCTTGAGAATTCCTTAATCTGATGTCCCACGCGATTTTATACAAAATGAAGTATTTGAACTTTGTAATTAAATAGAGTTAACTTGTAAAATCAGGAGTTAGATGATTTTAGGGCCGCGCCATAGCTTAAGCGTTTAGTCGCTGGCTTCCCATCGCGGCGGCCCGGATTCGAT